TAGAAAGAGGTATCTAAAATACTAGAATGCCCCAGAGCCTTCTCTCAACCTTTTGTCTATCTACTCTTATTATTCTATCTTATTACACTTCCTTCTCTATGCACACTTAATCCCTAGTGCAGTCATGGGCCACATAACATTTCGGTCAACAGCAGCCTGCACATACAGGTGGCCCCACAAGATTATAATAGAGCTGAAAATTTCCCATCGCCTAGTGATGTATCCATCACAACATATTCCTCATTCCTGTTTTGTGGTGATGCTGGTATAAACAAACCTCTTGCATTGCCAGTTGTATAAAAGTATAGCACATATAATTATGCATAGTACATAATACTTAAAAATGGTAAGAAACAACCTTGTTACTGTGTATGTATCTACTACTATACTATACTACACTTTTTATCATTAGAGTGCACTCTTTCTACTTATTAAAAAAAAGTTTGCTGTAAAACATTAGGCCTTGTTATGCCAGCAGTAGACTCACAGATCTGGTGTTTGCCACTCTCCTGATTGCATCATTCTCTTGTGCTTGATTTAATCTTGTGTTGTTTTATAAATTTAGTGTAGCCTAAGAGTACAATGTTCAGTGTAGCCTTACTGTACAGTGGTGTATGCATTCACTCAACAGTCACTCAGAGCAACTTCCAATCCTACAAGCTCCATTCATGCTAATAGGTGAACCATTTTAAACCACATTTTAGTACCTTTTCTATGTTTAGATACACAAATACTTACCACTGTGTTACAGTTGCCTACAGTATTCAGTACAGTACCATGCTGTACAGGTTTGTAAGCTAGGAGCAATGGGCTCTATCATGTAGTCTAGGTGTGTATTAGGCTATATATACAATCTAGGTGTAAGTGCACTCTGATGTTCGAACAATGACAAAATCACCTAACAATGCCATTTCTCAGAATGCATCCCCATTAAGTGGCACATGACTGTAGATCTCTTCCAGCCTGGTGGCCCTAAAGACACACTAAACTAACACCCTGTCCTGTGGTGACTGTTGCACAACTCAGGCAAAAAAAGTCATTTTTTATTACTCTCCTCTCTTACCCCATATTTAATCCATCTAGAAATCCAGTACAATCTACTGTCAAAAGAGATCTAGAATTAGCCTGGCTGGCATGGCTCGGTGATGGATGGTGAACCATTCAACCTATGAACCAGGAGGTCACTGTTCGATTCCTGGACATATGCCCTGGGTTGCAGGCTCACAGACTTGATGCTCAGTGTGGGGTGTGCAGAAGGCAAACGATCAATGATTCTCTCTCATCATTGATGTTTCTATCTCTCTCCCCTTCTCCCTTCCTCTCTGAAATCAATAAAAAAAATATTAAAAAAAAGAAGAGATCTAGAATTAAATTACTTCATATCAATTTGACTGGCCACAAAACCATCTGACCCCAGGATTACTATTATAGCCACCTAATTGATATACGTGTTTCTGCAGCAACCAATGACCTTTTTAAAAACACAAATCAGTTCATATCACTCCTCTGCTCAAATGGCTTCCCATTTCATTCAGAATAAAAGCCAAACCTCCTTAAAATACAGTGGGGCCTTGACTTACGAGTTTAATTCCTTCCATGACGGAGCTCATAACTCAAATTACTCGTATGTCAAATCAAGAAGTGAACGAGTGAGACACGTGATGCTGGGCTGATGTTGTGGCGTTCACTGTGACGTTCGCTGCGCATACTAGCGGTGGGGTATCTGAAGCTGGCTCGTAACCCGAATTTTAGCTCGCAACTCAAAGCAAAAAATCGGCCTAGACGGCTCTTATCTCGAAAAACTCGTTAGTCGGGACACTCGTAAGTCAAGGCCCCACTGTATCTACAAAGTTCTTTGTGATCTGCCTCTCCGTTTGCCATCACTCACCATAATTTCTGAGTTCATCTGTTAATCCTCATTTTAACTACTCCTTTCCAGTCACAAAAGCTTTCTTGCTGCTCCTTAAGCTTAGCAGGCATACTCTAACCTCAAGATCTTTGTATTTTTCTGTCCTCTTTGTCTTGGAACACTCTTTATCTCACACCCTCATATCTATATTGTTTAATACCTTACTCCCCTGCTCAAATATCTCTTCTCAGTGAGGCCTTCCCTTACCATTCAATTTAAAACTGCAAACTCCCATAACACGCTGTATCCCCCTTCCTTGCTTTATATTTTATATTCTCTACAGCACTGCTAATATTCTCACCTCCTAATATATTTAATATTTTACTTATTTATTGTCTCTTCTTACAAGAGTTTAAGGGGAGACAGAAGAGTGGTGAAGGGCACAATGAAAGTAGCTTATGCATTGAGCCTCATTTTTCATGTAAGAATACAGTATGTAGCCGAAACCGGTTTGGCTCAGTGGATAGAGCGTCGGCCTGTGGACTGAAAGGTCCCAGGTTCGATTCCGGTCAGGGGCATGTACCTGGGTTGCGGGCACATCCCCAGTAGGAGATGTGCAGGAGGCAGCTGATCGATGTTTCTCTCATCATCGATGTTTCTAACTCTCTATCTCTCTCTCCCTTCCTCTCTGTAAAAAATCAATAAAATATATTTTTTTAAAAAAAGAATACAGTATGTAATACATATAACACAAAATATGTGTAATAGACTCTTTATGTAATCAGTAAGGCTTCCAGTCAATAGTAGACTCTTAGTAATTAAGTTTTGGAAGGGCCAAAAGTTATACACAGATTTCTGACTGCTCAGGGGTTGGCATCCCTAACCCGTGAATTGTTCAAAGGTCAACTGTAAGTACAAAACTACTACACATTACCCTTAACCATTTTAGAAAGTTACTTACATTCCACTAGGCCAAGGGAACAAAAATCAGGTTTTTACAAAACCAAAAGCGTTTAACTAAATAAACTATATATTATGCACTTCAAATGTAGTCTTCCTAGAGCAGGGGTGGGGAACCTTTTTCCCCACCAAGGGCCACTTGGATATTTATAACATCATTTGCGGGCCATACAAAATTATCAACTTAAAAATTAGCCTGCTATATTTGGTAAAACATTTAATTAACTCACACCCAATGCCTTGGCAGGGCCAGACCAAATGATTTCCAGGGCCTTATAGGGCCCATGGGCCAGACATTCCCCACCCGTCCTAGAGCAATCATTTTTTTCCCTTCTTAAGATATTAACAATATTGATATTGACACAATATCAATAGCAGAGGCAGGAAAGTTCTGGCTCTAGTATGGCTGCCTAGAAAAAATACGGTAATTGTCATTTGGGATGAAAACCAATTTATTCTTGCAAATGATGTAACCATACAGTTAAAGCACCAGAGCCCAAAGACAGAAAATGCTAAATACTCCCATAATTTAGTAAAAATGTTTTAAAACACAAAGAATATGTTTAAGAAAAGTAAGTCCTCCACTCACATGAGCACTGCTTGCTACCACTGGTATACCAAGTACATTAAAAAATAATCTTGAAAACATTTTACAAAGTTAAATGTGGTCATTGCCAACTGATATGGTAGAGTCAAATCCCAACTCCACCATTTTATTGTGTAAACTTAAGCAACTTAATTAACACTTCTGAGCCTTAGTGTCCCCATCTATAAATCAGTGATTAAAAAATCTACTTCTTAGGGTTGTTTTAGGGTGTAATGAGATAGATATACTATAAATGACGAGGGCGAGGCACATGGCAGATATTTAATATGAGAGGGTCTCTGATAACATATATTTGATTTTGTATGTTCTAATTTGACCTCTTCCAAAGAAAGTAACTTCAATCTGCTTTTGATAAGTATAGAAAGTAACTTCGATCTGCTATTGGTAAATATAGGTAATCCCCGTCTTGGTTCTACAACCGTTTCAGCATATATTATTTAAAGAGCCACAAAACATCTCTCCCAACAATAACTTCATATATACAAATGATTTTAAGCTTGGGCCTATGATTTTGCATCCATCTGCTCCCTAAACACATAAGCAATGGCTGCAGTGGAATAAGTATAACCAAACGGTGGGTATCACTGGTGACCAGCTATGGACAGGAAGCAACAAAGGTCTAAAATTGAAGCATAGATGGATTCGGGAGTAACCATCTCCTCTTAGCAGGAAGCAACAGTGACTTCTCCACACTTCCTTCTGAAAGACGTGACACCTTCTGCAAATGATCCACGCTTCCTGACAGTTTACCAGACCTCTTTTCAGCAGTAAAGCAGCAAAGTGGAAAAACTCCCCAATGAAGACAAAAAAGTCATAACCAGGGGAGTGGTGAAGGTACTAGTCAAACAGCACCCCCCAAAGAAAGCGCATTTCCTGATTTCCCGTTTTGATTATTACACATGAAACCAAACTCAATTCCTTAAAAAATTTTTTTTTTTTTGCAAGTGCTTTTAAAGCATCGATAATACTGACGACAGTTGTTTCCGGCCAGTATCGAAAAGCCCCGCAGCAAACACGGGGAAACCTCCCAGGTCAAGTCGCTTCAGCTCTAAGTGGAACTCATGTTCCTTACCATTCATCCAGGTAAGGCCCTTCTCATTACACATCACCAGTTTAGGTCAGTTACAAACAGAGTGATCCAGCATATCCCAGCGAAATGGGTGGGTTTACTACCGCTTAAACCAGAGCCCGTCCATCTTCAGGAAAACCAGAAATCATTAACACGTCAAGGCCTCTCCTAAGAGACAAACGGACGCGACAATTTCCGTGGAGGCTCAGCAAAGTCCACAAAACCGCACCGGGCTCTGAGAGGACATCGTGCACAAATCCCTCTAGATCTGGGGCCAACGGCCCAAGGTCACACCAGGTCAGTGGCTAAAATATCCGAGAAATGCGAAGCCTCCTGCAATTTAGGAAAGCCCTGGCTAGGAATGGAGTCTGGGTTGGGGAACACTCAGGTCAAAGCTTTAGACATGAACAGCCCCACCACATGCAGCGGCTCCACGGGAAAACCCCACGCGAGTCACGCAATTATTTCCTTCACGTCCCCAGTCTTCCCGGCCCCTAGGCACCCCCAACACTCACATCTCCGGAGCCACTTCATCCAATGGTAGACGATAGTGGTGTGGTGTTTCTTGTTCTCTATGCACCAAGACGACAGGCCTTGAATAGATTCCATGGTGTTGGTTACCGACTGGAACTTTCGATCCAACGAGGACTCCAGAGCCCCTGCCGAAGAGGCCGACGAGGAGGAGGCCTTACTGCTGCCTCCGCCGCCGCCGGCCGCCATCTTCCCGGTTTGCACAAGCGCTGCTGCTCCTCTGGCGGCGGCGGCGGCGGCG